TCCCTTTCACTCGTCAAAGATTAATTATGTTTCCTTAACCCCTTATTTCCACACATCAAAATGCCAGTGTCTGTAAATTTCACTGATTTTAATCGATTGTGAATTTTGATTGATAAACGAGACTGACGTTACAGATCTAGTCTTTTATTTCATCGGATTAACGTTTTGATAAATTCGACTTGAAAATCCGGGTTAACCCCTACGTTGACGAAATAGTCGGATTTGATGCATCTCAAATCTGAATCGGAGATGACGACGATGAATGCGTTCCGAAAGGGTTAATCAGTCAGGTCACTCCATCCTCATATCAAGTCTCTAATTGCTAACAAAATCGAATTAAACATATTTCAAAATTATAGTTGAATGACCTTTATCCGACCCAGGGGTCCAGATTAATGTGTGTACTTCTAAAAAGAGGTGTTGTCCCCCTCGGGCTGTTAGGAGATCCACTTAAGTGATCTAAACCCTGTAAGAATAGGGTTGGTGTAATAATTTAAATACCAAAAAACCACTCTACTCCTTGTACTGTCCACTTAGGTAAAAAGACAATTCATATCGCAGATGTAGAATAAGTAGCGACATGCTCCGTACTTCTTCTGTTTCTTGATACTTCTTCTGTTGATTTTTTTCTACCTCTGTAGTTCTTCTTCTCTTTTAAGATTCTCCTTCTGTAGTTCTTCTTCTGTAATTCTTATTCTGCAGTTCTTCTTCTGTAGTTCTTATTCTGCAGTTCTTCTTCTGTTGATTTTTTTTCTACCTCTGTAGTTCTTCTTCTCTTTTAAGATTCTCCTTCTGTAGAGTTCTTCTTCTGTAGAGTTCTTCGTCTGTAGTTCTTCTTCTGTAAAGTTCTTCTGTAGTTCTTCTTCGGTGTTTCTTCTTCTGTATTTTTTCTTCTGTAGTTCTTCCTCTTCTGTAGTTCTTCCTCTTCTGTAGTTCTTCATCTTCTGTAGTTCTTCCTCTTCTGTAGTTCTTCATCTTCTGTAGTTCTTCATCTTCTGTAGTTCTTCATATTATGTAGAGTTCTTCTGTCTTCTGTAGAGATCTTCTTCTGTAGTTGTAATTCTTCCTCTGTCATTCTTCCTCAGTCATTCTTCCTCTGAATTGGGGGTGGGATGGGTGTTAGACAAAGAAGTTGACCATACTGAAATTCTAGCTTTTTACACCAACCGTATAATAAATGTGATAAACACTGAAAAGGAGGTTTAAAGGATCAATGTGTAACAATGTATTAATTACAGGTTATAGATAATTAATTACCGGCGCAAAATAACTTCTCATAACTGCTCATCAATATTTTTGGCAACGACCAGGCGATAGTATAATATAGAAAAAACTATGTTGTCAAAAAAAATATATAAATAATTAAATGAAATGCATTAAGGAGAATCAGCACCAAACGGGCTATATAAAGAAACCCATAAAAAAATAGACAGCAGAACTGAATACTGAAAAGTTTTAACTGACCACTCTACGATGGACGATGGTCAATTATATTCTACTGACCAACAGAGATCACAGACAAGATACCGAGTTGTAATTTCAAAATCTAGTAATTATAATTCTTTTATCAGTACATCATATAAACAAAACTTTACAAATTATACCCCTCATATTTCTGACCCTCGGGACCTCTCGGAACCCCCGGGGGCTAACGACCTGCTCTCAATCATATCACTCTACCCTGACCTTACAAACTACAGGTCGTGTGACTCGATAACCGGATGTGATTAACCGGAAGTGATGTAAGTGCGCCCCCTAGTGTGAAGTTAATGATATTAACAGGGTTTCTATGGTGTATATTATTATGGCGGTAAAACATCAAACACTTCTTGTTTCATTTATAATTTTATGAAATGAACGTGGTTGATTGGTTTCATTTTTAGAATATTTCAATGAAGTTGCTCAGCTCTTCATTCGTCGTGTAGAAAAAGAGAGATTCAATCCTTTGGCTGAAAAATGTATTCTCTAAATAGATTTTGTCTGTTTTGGGCTGATGTGTTAAGAGCTGAAATTTAAACGGGCAAGAAAAGGGGCGAATTTTCTTCCTTTATATCAATCAGTAATGATTGTCTAAATATGTTCATTTACCTCAATTTTTCAATGTTTACCGACTTCCCTAACTCAACCTACAGGGTCAATAGTTATTTTATAATCCCCCTCCCCTCATCAACGTTATCAGCTAGCACAGTAATATTTTAAACTTTCTGTTTTAATTCTATTATATTTCACCGAGTTTTAATTTAATGACGGTAGATTGAAATAGTGTGGAATGCCCTATACATCCCCTGTCACACTCCAACCAAGTCTATAGAAAAGACATCATCATTTTGCTGGTTCTCTTTCATTGTGCTACAATTCCTCTTTCAACCTGCATCTGGGTTTGCTGAAATTACGTCTCTATCAGAGTGTCCATATGCAAATAGTTTAAAATCATTTTGTCGTATTCTATACACCAATAGGGTGTTGTTTATGTTGTGGACAAGCTTTGCCTTAAGCTAATTTTTCAACTAGTAAGATTCAAGCTTTTGAGTCCAATTTAATTTGAGCTCTTCTGAAGTACTATATAGTGGATTTAACCATCAAGACCAATCCTTCGCAAAACCTCCGCAAAATACCTTATGCAAGTCTGCCACTGCGTTTGTTAATTTGCATGGAAAAAGTTCACATAATCTAAAATTTTATTTGGTATATTCTACCTTCTGTATTAGGCGACAATTTGAGGTATTACACCCACCTTTACACTGACTAAAAGTAATTTTCGTCTTATAAATTAGATGTAAATGTGTGATAGAGTCTACCGGCTGCCAGGATGGTTCGGTACCGACTGATTCCATGTCGGCTTCTTCATTATTCATTACCCTAATAAAACACTGACTACAACCTCGCTAAATATTCTTTTGAAACTTATCAGCTTCTAGTTTAATAGACTCCTATCTTCTGTCTATTGATTTAATTGAAGCGACGTGGTGTATAATGAAACTCCGAGGTGGTTTCTTCAGATGTTGTTATTTATGTTTTTTCATATTTCAATGTAATTTGTGAAAGACGAAATACTATTGTCTTGATTTCTTGGATTTTTTAGAAACTCGCTGCATGAAATAAGTGTTTGCCATGACGTCATCGTGAATGTTACACCGTTTGTTTCAACGTCATGATGTCATCGTGAATGTTACACCGTTTGTTTCAACGTCATGATGTCATCGTGAATGTTACACCGTTTGTTTCAACGTCATGACGACATCGTGAGTGTTACACAGTTAGTTTGATTCAACGTTATGACGTCATCGTGATTTTACACCGTTGTAATTGCTTCATATCCTGTGCAGATATGTTTAATAAGAAGACGTCATCCAAGAAAAGGAGATACCGTGGAAAAGAAAGTAAGCAGGCATAACAACCTACATAGCAGAAAAAAAAAGGAAAAAAAGGAAAAAAAGGAAATCAAATTAATTTATGTCAATCTTTAAGGTGATTGAGGTGAAATAAGGTCTGCCTTATTCGAGCCTTTAAGTGATTTTACCATATCAATGTATCAATAGAAAAGGAATGTGTACAAGTGGTAAAATATGTGCAAATAGCCCGGAAGTGTCACGTGTTATTGTGTTTTTAGATACGTCAACGATCAATCTGAAGATAATGTTTATTTATTTATTCAATTTGTGCAGAGAATTTCGAAAGGGTTTGTTTCCTGATCCGATTAAGAGATGTATTTTGAATAAAAGTAAATAAAGTTTTAGAAGGTGGGAGTATTGAGTCTATTGTAATAAAGGATGTAGGGGGATACAGGTAAATAAGGGGCTAGGGTCTGGGAGTTGACGGGGTATTGTTACAAGGTGTAGACGGCGAGTAGGGAGATGAATAGAACAGTATGTAAATGCATCCAAACTTATTTGTTTATTAAGGGATATATCTGTCAGGGACTGAATTCTATTGTCATGTTTCAAGTACCTCTTTATACCAGTATATATGACAGGCTAATAAAGGGTCTGATTTAAACCCCTTTCTTCTCCCCCCTAAACTGTTATACCCCTGGTAACATTGTGATACAGTGTTGTCTATTCTAGTATACAACTCGACATCCTGTCAGTCTTTATTATAACTCAGTATATCTCAAGTACTCTTTACTCTCACCTCTCAGCGTTTTAAACATCATATTAGGAACAAAATAGTACAGATGGAATAATTCCCCGACCCCTAAGTATAATATTAGGGACAGAGGAGACCAAAACTACTACAGCTGATCACCATAGGTGAAAAACATGACAAACATGGCAATACCTTGACCCCTTCAAAAAGTATTGAAAACTGGAGGGACACTGCCCAGACACCTAAACATATTACTAATACTGCTACATTTGTTTCGGAATATTTTGACGTTATACTTCCAAGGGCGCCGGAACATTATTGTAGGGTTGTATATTTGAATATCAGTAAAACAAACGACATTCGATTTTAATTCTATTACCATGGCAACATATATTTTAATTCTTTAATCCGAGAAAAGGAAATCTTAAATTAATGGGAGGAAATCAGAAATTCAAGATTTTGTTAAGATTTGTCCGTTTTCTGGATTTAAATGATGTTTAATCTGTAAATCACGCGTGAATTAACGAGAATAAATGACAGTTGACATGGCAACAGAATTAAAAAGTGTCACATTTGTAAAAAATCGGCTCAATTTATGGCCCTCATTTGACTAAGTGGGGGCAGCATCCTGTGCATTGTGTAAACATAAAATATGCAGTCAATGTGAATTAACGTGTTGATTGTGACAAGAAAGGAAATACGAGGTTGGCATCTAAATGCAAATAGATTAAGTTATAGAGGTTGCAAAATAACACTGTACATGTACCTTGAGGAGGATTCGAACACCACATCGCTTATTGACTTCAAGTAATAATAATTAAAGTTAATTATGAAAATTTGCACCCACGATTAATTAATAGTATTTAAAAAAAAATCAGAAAATATGAACGAAGGTATTATTTCAATAATTAGTTTTAAATGGCGGGTAATTTTGTAGAATAATTGTGGTAATTTTGTAGAATAATTGTGGTAATTTTGTAGAACAATTGTGGTAATTTTGTAGAATAATTGTGGTAATTTTGTAGAATAATTGTGGTAATTTTGTAGAATAATTGTGGTAATTTTGTAGAATAATTGTGGTAATTTTGTAGAATAATTGTGGTAATTTTGTAGAATAATTGTGGTAATTTTGTAGAATAATTGTGGTAATTTTGCAGAATTATTGTGGTAATTTTGTAGAGTAATTGTGGTAATTTTGTAGAATAAATGTGGTAATTTTGTAGAATAATTGTGGTAATTTTGTAGAATAATTGTGGTAATTTTGTAGAGTAATTGTGGTAATTTTGTAGAATAATTGTGGTAAATTATTTCTTTCTGTTAAAAGTATTAATTATTTGATATACATGTATTATTATCCATTTTTTAATTCCATTACTGTATATACCTCAAGTTTGCAATGGAATTTTTAACGACACCTGTTTAGGATACACAATCAACGTCACGACACCACCCCTCTATCCGTACAATACCCAGATTTCGGACCTCGAAAAATCGGTAGAATCAGGACACTACCCCTCCCTAGATGCGTGCCCGTCCCCTCCCCTTATTAGTTTGAATTTTCTTGAAATTGTGTTGTTAAATGACTGATACTGTTTGACTCTCTCGGCAACGTTGTGAACCCTACTTGTTTCCTCCGACTAATGATTCCTAGACACGCCACTGCCCTTCTCCCCCTTCAAACCCCCGAGAAATATACAAATCAAGACGTCACCCCTCTCTCCTCCTTCCCTGCTTTACCCATACCTCCAATTCTACCTTCATACAATACCTAGCCCCCAGACCCCAGACCCCAGCCTCCAGCCCCCAGCCCCCATCCCCCAGTCCCCAGCCCCCAGAGAAAGATACACATGTAGGTAAAATAAGGTTAAATTGCAGATGACAATATCTCAATACAACAGACTATTTTTCCCATCACCTGAATCCCCTGTCCTCTTATCATCCCCTCATCTCCCGAGGGTCAATACAGGGATTTTAAGGGCAGGACAATATAAGTGACATGCTATTAATCTAGGGTCAGAGGTCAGAGATTAAAATGATAAGCAGGGCAGGGGATTTCTGAGGGGTGACTATTTCTAATAATAATAAAATAACTTTTTCGCTTTCGGTTTTAAATCTACCTGATACATATTGTTTATGTTCGATTACTGAGATCTCGACTTGTGGAAACAGAATCAATATTTGTATGCTGTCCACAATAATGTGTATGAAGAATATCATATATCCCCGGCTTCTTCACAGGGCACTAGACATGGTGGGAGCAGTGCCGGAGACAGGTTTGGGTCCGAGGGGGGGGGGGGGGAGGGGGGGGTAGAGTTTACCCGAATTTCTAACACAGTTATGAAAAATTGCCCCTTCTGAAACCCCCCCCCCCCCTCCCCACTTTTGGCTCCGCCTCTGGGTGGGGGTTCCTTGGAGGATATTCTGATCCAGGAAGGCGAAGGATACAGCAAACGCGATATCGGAAGTGAAAGTAGAATTTTCAATTGTTATGGCCCGAGGATGTGAGGGGGCGGTGGTGGGATGTCACTATATGCTCCCAGCCCCGAATACGCCACTAGAAGACTGTAATTGTACCAAGCTATCATTCAGCTTATTGGACCCCTTTCACTAAAAGATGAATCTATGGACTTGAGTTACCTCCCTTGTACTATTTATTTACCTATATCGTAGCCAGACTTGATTGTCTGTTGGGGCAAGTTTTTCAGGGGTAATCCATTTTTGCTACGGATCTGCTTTTGTACGTTACTCGATAAAAAGACCTGAAATCTAGACCATTTTGAATTGGTTACAATAATCAGACAGTTTTTACTTTCGAATTTGTAGATAGTGTTTTGACAACAGCAGAAACAGTTCTTCAAAGCCAAGAGATTTAGCCACGGAAACAGCTGGCAGAAAAAAAAAATAACTCTATCAATTTTTTTTCGAAAAACAATCAGTATGATTTCTCCATAACTATTTTAGAATTTAAAAACGTCACAGATGACAAGCAACAATCAACATTATATTTTTCTGAAACGAGAAGGTAAAGGCCATTTTTTAAAGACATGAAACAAAATACCCTAATTAAATTTACAAAACTATAATAATTTAAGCCATCTTTTAAAAAAAGAACATCAAAACATTTCGGTCAATTATTACTCGAGATAAAAAATGACACGACAATGGACAGGTCGATTACGAATTGTAAAAAATGAGTGAGTTTGGTCCACCATTGTGTTAGAAAGAGTTTTTAATCTATACCTCATTGTCATAAATACTTCAAAACCCGAGGAAGGAACAATTAAATTAATATTAAAATTAACCTAGACTTCAAATCTTTTATTTTCACTTCCACAATTATAACTTGAACAAACCTCATTTCTTTCCTTACAACGTTTCGATAATGATCTAGTTTAATTGGACATGGTGTCTGCATCTATTCACCGACTCCAGCATGACACCCCTAATTTTAGTGTCAAAACATTAATTTAGGTTTTTAAGGTCCAGATATAAAGCTGCTTCAAGTAAATCCTTTCGAAAGCAATGGCTGAGCTGTCTTTTAACTGCTTTCCAGGGATAAAACCGATTGCTTCTCTTTTCATGTATATTGGGGACACCAATAGCATCGATTTGTACCATTTTAAGTCCATGGTTCCATTTCTTATAATAGACACTCAAGAACAACAGACGTCTGACTGAAAATCTCCTTACAATCCCTTTAATATCTTATTATTCAGGGTTTGTAAAGTGACCAGTTCCATGAAAAATGTAAAAAATCAGTATTAAATTGAAGATGGAGATATACGCGGTAAGGGTAAGGACATGATAAAACGCAGCAACAGACAGCGAACACGTATAAATTAAAATTATGTCGATATGCGGCCTGAAATTAGAACACGAAATAACCTTCAAACTGTCTAGAAATACCACGGGGTTATTATTTAAATATGAGTAACAAAGTTGATATAGTTACTGCAAGTACCCGTGCTGATATACCAAATAACATTATGGCTTTGATTGCAGCTAAATGGATTATCATATGGATATTCTTCATAACTTTAGAATCAAGTAAGTACTTCCTCCTCTTGCAGTGTGCAATGGGGGACAATTTGTCAGGACATCAGCATGAGTGTATGAGTAAAAATGATTCTCTGACAAAACTAAATAGGTCACTAGCAGACATTTATTTTCGTGTTTGTACTCAATACATTTACATCAACTAATTACAATAGGTTGTATGTATTAGTCAGATTCCTTCGAATTCCTGCTTTTCGTAAATTCGTAAGTGAGGGAAATTTAAATGTGGACGGAAACGCTGGTAACCAATCACTAACTCTTATGTTATTAAATGATCTGATGGAAAATTGGAATGATGCAAATAGAAACCATTAATTGCTCTGATACAAATTAAAAGCTAAGTAACCTTTGAATAATGCCGAATAACTATATAAACATTTCGATGACGGGTATTTCGAGATTTAACTATTCTATATTTCAGTAGGGACGCGGGCTGAAATAGGTCAGTTGTCTGAAGATCGTACAGTGTGAAACAGTGTAGCAACATGTTTCAGGTTCCGTTCTAATTGTTCTATTTTATATTTCAGTATCTGGTTTGAAATGTTTTAGTTGTGATTCTTATTTCATTTCGGGCTGTATCGAGTTCGATTCCAGTCAGAGTTTCTTGATGTCATGTGACCCATCTCTTAAACCAGTTTCCTGTCAGAAAATAGAACGAAAATGTGAGTAAAACGATTTTGAGTGAATTTCGCGACAATCTGATGACAGTGGCGTATTTATGTGATAATTTTTGGGCCTTGAAACACCCGTGATAACTACTGCCCTTTAAAGTCTGCAAGGGACCGACGGGGTGCTCGGATGCCCCCCCCCCCCCGCCCCTCAATAAAATCATTGCTACGCCACTGGGTACAGTTCCTCAGACGTGATATAAGGATGTTATAAGCGAGATCCGGTGCAGAGAAGTAGGACGTAAAACTCCATTCATTTCATTTCATTTTCCTTCCCAGTGAATGGATCTAAAGAGTATCGGGTGAGAAGAGACTGTGTTTACCAGGAATATGAAGAACAGATAACTCCTATCAACATGGAATGTCAGGCGACCGGAAGTACCACTGGTGTACACAATGTATATGTCTGTTACACGGATGGCTGTAATTCTGGGTCGACTCTGAAACTATCATCCGTGTTGATGTTCATTATTGCTACCGCTGTTTTAAGTCTTATCTTGCCATTTTGAGCAGATTATTGCTATTTCGAATAGTTTTATATCAAACTTGTCGATCTTTATGTGTTCGTTTAGCAAATACACGTGACATACTAATTTTGCAGTTTTGTTTCATTACTTAGGTAACTGAAGTGTATAGATTCCAGTGTTTATATAGACTGAGATACTGTTTTTCATCCTAATCTTGGAGTTTTCCACATCAAACCTTTTCTGAAACAAAGTGATATATATAACAGCAATCACAAGGGAATATTATAGCATAACACACTTCTTTAATAACAAAGTATCGTACATAACGTTTCAACACGAAGAGGTGTGTTATGATTATATTCCATTCCATTCCATTTTATGTTATATGTCTTCTCCGCTTCTAAATGTCGTTCAAATCTTTTAGTGATATATTCATCACTGTATCCAGGTCTGAGGAGTAGCCCGACGTATCTGACCCTACACGTTCCTCAGACGTACGGATATACGGATGTTCGTATATCACTGGTAGGGTCAGGTTTGGTGGGCTACTGATGGGATGTATTAGTATGTTATTGGCTGTGCTTGGTCCCTCGCTAGAACGAAAAGAGTAGGAGTACAACAACAGAGATTTCCTTTTACATACTGCTAGGCGGACCCTTGCACTCATGTCAAATCGACCTTGACTATTCTATTAAAAATTAAGAATCATTATGTCTGTTGAATGGTTATTATTCCTGGTAAAACTGGGTCACAGTATTCTTTATAGAGATCTATAGATATTCCAGCTAGCCTGTCACTCCTTAAACCTCATTTTCAATTGAGATAATTTCATTCATAGAAAATAGCCAGTGATCGAATTCCACAACGACAACAGACGACATTCTTCATTCCCAGAAACGCGGGAAAATTTGACGTCAGTAACGCAGCGAATGAGCTTAAGGAATGCGATTGGTTGATAATGTCAATTGTATTGTAGATGAATAAAGTATATATATGTATACGAGCTGCCAAACAATATATTGTGATATTAGAATTGTAATAAGATATATTATAGGTGTTTTTTTGAATGGAGGGTCGTGTTTTATGACAGTGCAGGCCTCCCCAATAAAAATAGATCTTAAATGACTTTATGTTGTCCAGGGTCGACCAGAGCTGTTTTTAATGATTCATCACGCCTGATTTGATCGAGCAAATATAACATACAATAATTGGACAATGTTGGCTAGGTCTGATTCGTGTTATTGACAATTGATTGAAAAGATATATGCAGTATTTATGGTGTCGTATTGTTCTGTTCTTATTAAAGACGAATCAAGTGTTTTGTTTGTGCATTTTTAAAAAGTTACAAATATCTATCAACAAGTACGAATATTTTTATGAGTCGTCAAAACAGTATGATCTATCATTGCAATATTTATTTTGATTTGGGGAAATTTAAAGCTTCGTCGAAGGTCAAAAATCTTCCTACAGGTGCCCTCACATTATAGAGATCACCAGTTGCACATGGTTGCAAATAAGAATAGCGGCCATAAGTTTCAAACGCAATTCTCGTGCAACTGAGTAGTGTTCGGTAATTATGTGCACTTTCATTATGTACAACTGTAATCACTATAGTGTGAGTGCACCTGTAAATAGCAGAAGACCTTGACAGAAATATTTCGCATACAAAACTTTCGTGTCTTACTTCTAGCAATTTGTGACATTATAGCACTGACGGGGTACAATAGTACTTTTGTGAAGTGAAAATGAACAGTATTTGCAAACGCTCTTATGATATGCAATTGTGTTTTATGTTCGCCCTGCATTTATCTGAATTACAGGAGACGTACAGCACTATACAGTATGCAATTAGGGAACTTTTGCCAGGACAGCAACATTAGCCAGTAAAATTCGCAGATTGTAGCTGGGGTTTTAGCTAATGCTCCATCCTAACGATGACATTTTGCTCCGACCTGGTTAGTCACTGAAAGTGGAAATGGAAACCGAGTGGAAATCGGAAGGTATTATCTCGACGTAATGCGGACGCCCTGGCAATATAATGGTCTAGGCTCTAGACTACATATTCCCGAAAAGACCCGAGCGTTAGGATGTTCTACAAACAGTATTAGAAGTTAAGAACTTGGGACATCCTAATGCTAGGATCGTTTCGAGAATACGCGGCTAGGGCGTTGCACATCTTCATTAACCTAATAAGCTGCAGAAAAGTGGGACATGAAGCTCTATTTAATTCACTACAGTAGTTGAGCTCTACTAATTAATAAGAAGGCCTTATCGATATTGATTTTGATCCTCTCTGCATACACAATGACCTTGAATTGAAGGTCATCTGAGGTTAATTGCTGACCTTACAAAGGTCATTGTTAAGTTCATTATGATAAATCTATTATTATGTTATTATTCTTATATTACTTGACTTGTTCAGTGATATTTACACTTCGGTCTAACTAAAGCTAGATTCACATGGTTCTACATCGACCGTCAATTTAATCATTAAGCTAGGTTCACATGGTTTTATATCCAACGTTACTTTTATTCTAAAGCTAGATTCACATGGTTTTACATCGACCGTCAATTTAATCATTAAGCTAGGTTCACATGGTTTTATATCCAACGTCATTTTAATTCTAAAGCTAGGTTCACATGGTTTTACATCCAACGTTACTTTAATTCTAAAGCTAGGTTCACGACGCTCCACGTTCATGGGCGCTTTTACAGGAAAGTTTGGTTCCTCGGTTTCATTCATCGCTGATAATGGAACATGGGAAAATAATTGCCTGTAATTTCCTGGAAAGCTCTGTGGCCCCTACTTGACGCCCGCCTGATGATTTATGGAAACGCCACTGTCAACATCGAAGACCAGAGTTATCTTATACTTCGTTACCTCCCTGAATCAATCGCTCTGCATGCTTCTATGAGAGAGTATCTCTTTTAAAACCTTATACGACTGTTGTCAACGGCTACGTGTCCCTCATTTCAGGTTTCATGGCGTCACCCACTTTATTCGTTGAATCAACGGATATTATAGGCTTCTTCACAGCATCGTTAATTTCTAACACCATAATGATAATTTTCTTCGATCAGCTTACCAACACAGTCACAAATTATCAAATTTGAGGGACATAGATTTTCGGTGCTAATGCTTTGCTTTTAATGGCATGCAACCGCTACCCCCTCACTGGTTCAGGTCTCAGCTGTACTGAAACCACCTTCAGTCAAATTCATTATAACATATTTTGTATTCAGTCTGTAATATGGCTGGTTTCATCTCAATGTACATACCGACAGTAATTAGTTTCGTTTTGTGGTTGACTATATCATTATTTAACTGAGTGTAAAATTTTAGAATAGCCGGACTAAGTGAGGTGTAAAAACAACTGACTCGCTTTAATGAACCAGTCAGATAATAACACAGGTTAATTAGTACTGTTAATTAATCTTCTTGTTAAAAACACCTGCCTATCAGTAGTACAGACTGCAGGTTGCAGTTTTCTTCAGGCATTTTAAGAGATGGGTAACTATTTCGTTTCTTGGTGAATTTGCAACAGCTGGACATATCCTCGTCATTCTGACTAAAGAAGACTGTAAAACTCTATGTCTTATACCTAACTAAGGTAATTAAGGTAGATATTCTCTCATTGCACACTGCATGGCCGTGCCTAATATTAGTGGTGAAACGAAGGATGTAAAATTCCATTCATTATACCTAACTAAAGTAATTATATGTAGATATTCTCTCAGGTAGATGAAAGTGAACAGCAGGTAAATAAAATAGTTGACCAGGTCAAAAATGAGCCCCTGGGCTAATGCAGACTGTCGACGGTGAGAAATCGCTCCCCAGGCTTGGCCAGTCATTCAAGGTGAGAAGTGTAGACCTGTATATTGTTGATCTCGTGTAAATAAAACTAATTTAGGTAGACATCAGGGTAGTGAATATTATGAGGGTAATCGAGCTGTACATATTGTTTGTTAATGGAGATGTGGGCATTGTAAAAAAAAAGGTGGGGGGGGGGGGTGATTTTGAATCTTTTTCGGGGGTAATGAGGCACTTTGTCGTGTAGCATATAATGTTGGACGTTTATAATTTAAGTCGTTCTATTCAGTCAGGCTATATTCTCTGACATGAAATAGATTGCAGTGGCGCTGCCAGCCTTCCAAACTGAGGGTACAAATAGGGGGCAGACTGACTCAATGTAGGGACAACTGCTGAAGCTGAATTCCTATTTTGGCTACTCTGTGGTGGTGTCATAGTCACAAGCCTCTCATAGAACGTCTGATAGGGTTCTCTCAAGAAAATTTTAGTAAAAAAGGAATTGATTTTGTGCATTCTGACAGATATTTAGTGTAATATGTGATATATCGAACAAGGATCATGAAAGGGGTAGTAGAAAGAAAAAGGTTGAAAACCCTGGACTAGAATATACCTATGTTTACACATATATAAATAATATTGTCATTAATCGAGGTGTATAGGTAAAAAAAATATTGTTTACATCTCGCACAGGTAAACAAACAACAAGTTTCACACGTTTTTATACAATCTACATGGCCAGTTGACCCCGTTGTAACAAATACATCTACTTGAATACCTTAATCAAAGGACGTCTTGCCTTGTCATTGTTTATCTGTACACTCTTCGTTGACCATTCAAATTGTTTTTTACAATTTACATACTGTCGACTCGTCATTGAACCACAAGCAAAACTAATTCAAAAATTGTGGATGACAAATATGAGCAAGTTAAGTATAAGAAGAATGTCCAAAGAAAGTCTTAATCAACCGAACAGCAGAACGAAACCTGCTGGCGTACAATACAATCAAATCGCTGCACCTTATACAAGAATAGTGGCTATTGAGGTCGAGGTATAAGACGAAGTTCGTAATAGTTTGACATTGTGGAGATGCAGTTCCGCATATTGAGCCACTTTACAGTAATAGTTCTGCAAATGTAGGAAGCCACACTTCCTTATATTCAAATACTAGCCAGCCAGGCTAAACATAAAAACATCTTTAAAATCCCTTTAAGATACATACATTGTACCTGCCCACACCCTTAATGAAGTTTATGTACCCCCGTTGACGAAGCCCTGTTTCTAATACATTGATCTGCATTATGTTTCGTATTGGTTTGATTAACTGCGGTCTGTCTGTGAACCGGAAGTAGTGAAATTCTACCCCGCTGTATTAATTATGTAGTCCAGTGATCGTTCAAACCCTCCGCCATGTTTCAACCGACAAATTTAATTAATGTGCATGGGAATTCATATTTTCTCAAGAAAACGTCGTTCATCTTTACCCTTCACAGTAGCAGCCGATCAGCCTCGTGCCGCGCTCTACATCTGGCCGGCTTACATCAAAGTGAATTATGATGACGTCACGGTTGATTGACATTTACAATGCTATTCGAACGTAATGAAGTGTGGGTATCCATTTCAAATTTCTATTCACTCAGTTTTTTACCCGTTAATTGAAACAATATTTTTTATTTCAAAAAGCATAAAGTGCGGAATGAAATATTAAGTATTTAATGCGCATGAGTGAACTAAGAGTATCTGGAGGCTATGTAACCACCTGTTGAAAAGAACGTCACGGTCACATCACGCTACATTCAAATACCGTCACGCTTCATTAGTGACTCGTGGTTGTCGCTCAGCGACTGTGCTGGAATTTAAACTGCACCGTTTCGACGATATAAAACTTTTTTAACCAAATACTGGAGGCAAGATGACAAGACGACACATCCCAATTAAAGATATATACAGAAAATCTGACAAAATCTATAGTTATTGATGTTTTGGAATGAATTTCGGCCGCTCACAGATCTAATTACTTCATCTAATGCCTCGACTGCAATAACCACCTTTCTTGTATCACAGACGCTAGCTTTCGTGATACGTGAAAAGTGCCTAATGATGTCAAGGTATTATACAGAGTTATTAAATTTTGGCATGGTGAAGACATATCTGCTTCTCAACTTGAATCGCTATCACTGGCAAGAGGTCACAATAGCCAAAAAGTTTTGAGGATGCCAAATAGGCATAT